AAAAAAAAAAAAAAAAAAAAGAACAGAAAAGACAAAACATGGAATTCTATGATTTCTTCAAAAGTTTTGTATCCGGTGGTGTAGCTGGTATGGCGTGTCTGATAACCGGACATCCATTTGACACAATTAAAGTTCGGCTACAAGCAATGCCACATCGTCAGCATCAACATCTGTATCAGTATCCATTTCATTGTCATCAGAAAACACTTAGTGGAGCTCACTATTTTACTGGAGCTTTTGACTGCTTACAAAAAACAGTAATTAACGAAGGATTCAAAGCGCTATTCAAGGTTTTCAACAATATGTTTGATTCTTCCTCTTTTACTCACTTTACAAATTATAGATATACTATGAAATATCACTTATTTTGTTCATTTAGGGAATGACAGTTCCAGTATTATTTGGAATTCCAAGATCAGCAATATTTTTTGGCAGTTTTACACTTGGAAAGCAACTGCAGACTGGTGGTATCGACCGCGAATTGTCGCCGTTTGAACTGTTCAATGCTGGTGCATTTGCCGGTGCAATACGCGGTGTTATTATGATACCAACTGAACGAGTCAAATGTATATTACAGGTTTCAAAAAATGAAAAATAAGAAAAAAACTAATTAATAAAAAATTAATATTAATTCTTTATAATCATCCTTACTAGCTGCATCAATAAACAGCAATACATTTTTGTTTACAATTTTTTAAATGATATTTATGCTATTTGTAAGTCAATGTTAAGATATTGCGACAGCTCAAGTTTCACCTTTTTTTTTGGTGCCAATAGAATCAAAATTACTACTAACTTTTTTCTAATGCAACTAATGTGAATAACTATAAATAGTAATCTTAGTTTTTTAGCATTATAATACTTCATTTATTTTTGTACTGTACAAGTTCTTTGGTCATTTTTTAGTTTATTAAGACAGTTTGGGAGGTTACGTGTTGGAAAAATATTTCACCATATCCCATTAAACCATCTTAGAATTAAAAAAAAAACGAAACAAAACAACTTAGTCAGTCCCCAAAAACGGTATTTGAGAAAACTAAATTTTTCTTCACTGTATTTTTCGCAGATATGATTTGAAAAAAAAGAAAGTAGTGATATTGCTTTACAGCGAAAACCTCGATGTCTATTTTTTTACTTAGAATTCAAGAAATTACTTTAGCATTTTTCAGAGCTCTAATGTTCCCATATGGATCAAAGCGGCGGAAAAATTCACCTGAATGGCAAAAAAAAATTAAGCAAAAATTGACAATTTTTCTCTTTAGGTTCGACAAAATCCATTAACTGTTGCTGAAGTACCAAAATACGAAGGACCGATTAATGTGGTCAAACATCTGTACAGCTCAGGAGGCATAAAAAGTATCTACCGTGGAAGCTGTGTTACACTTCTACGAGGTTTCATATATCTGCTTTAACTTGCGTGCTGCTTAGTTCAAGCGACTATGCTGTTTCTCTCTTAGTTTTTTTTCTGTAAAAGATAGCATAAATGATTTCTAAAATTTTTAACAGATATCCCGGCTAGTGGCTCATACTTTACCGTCTACGAATATTTGACAAAAAGTTTACTGAAAGACAGGAAAACATCAGAAGGAAACACACCGGTTACTATCGTTGTTGGTGCTGGTGGCGTTGCTGGAGTAGTTTCCTGTCTAATCGTTATCCCTTTGGATGTCGTTAAATCAAGAATTCAAACAGCACCAGAGGGCAAATATAGGCATGGTAAGCATTCTATTCACCACTGATGGTCATAGAAGCTTCTGGAACTCAAAGTACAGTAGGCAAAAGCTATCAATAATTTGAAAAGATTTCTTACATTATCAAACAAAATTAAGAACAGTATAAACAATAAACTTAGTAAGTAAAATACATCAGTAATGAACCGTGCTAAATTACACGAATATATATAAAAATATGCATTAAAAGTAAGTTCTACTCTTTAGCAGTAAGAGAGGAAAGATTTTTTTAGGAATACGAAGTGTTTTACAAGAGATTGTCCGTCAAAATGAAGGGTTTAAAGCACTGTACAAAGGACTGACACCAGTTGCTCTACGAGCATTTCCAGCGAATGCAGCTTGCTTTATCGGTTTGGAAACAACGTTGAGTTTATTTCGGTTCTTTGAAATATAACTCTGGCTATTTCCGATCTGTATTTTATTTTCGTTCTGTTCTTTATACCATCCAAATTGAAAAAATTAAAATTTTTTGTCGTCAGCGTGATTTCTAGCACGAAAGTGTAAGTAGTAACACTGCTACTATTACTTGTTCATAACACTGGAAGTCTTCAGCCGTAGCTGAAACGAAGATCACCATCATCTCTATCCTGCAGAAAAACTATGGCATGTGTCAATAGCAGAGGCTAAAAAGAACGCTCAAAGCTTTTTTTTAAAAGACTTCCTTGAAACAAAAAAGTTTTGTCATAAATAAATCTATTAAATGAAGTCAGTGTTCAGTTGATAAACAAGAAAACTTTTTAGCTTACGCTGAACAGTATTTCATTTACGGGGTTTTGACACGTACAACAGTTTTACATCGTTATATTGCCATTGTTGCATCAAGCTCTGTCACTGAAATACTGAACAAAATGTAGTGAAAAGAAGTCATAGAATGAAAGCAGAACAAAGAATTGAGAGAGAAGGCTCAGATTTGAAAATTTAAACAGTACTGATTCAACCAGACAAAAAAATAACAATAAGAATTGTTTGAGGTTTTTGAAGATGTCCTTTGATATTGTGCATACGTGAGGGTAAAGACAGCTTATGCAAAAAAAATTAGAATTATATCATTTCTTTATGCGGCAACAGCAGAACAAATCTTTCTGAAAGGGCCGAGATGTCCACAGAGTAAGTAATTAAGAATGTTATTTGAAAACTGATATTTATCATTTGATGAATTAATTCAAGCTGTATTAATAGCAATCTGTTGTCTAAAAGTATAAGCAATGTCTGCAATTCAAAATTTTACAAAAATACTCAATTTTTGTTGCAATTACAGTTCAGCACGCATTTTTTCAAAAATATTTGTAACAAATGGAGTTAACCAAGAAATTTTTTATTTAGAGAAACCGAGGAAATAAAAATATTGAGAACCACCTTGAGGGAAAACTATATAATTATCAAGGAGGAAACAGAAAAAGCTCTAAAGTTTTAAGCAGTAGATAAGGTGACAAGATGGATTTTTTGGTATTGTCTCTGTAGTACTAATATTCTTTCGACAAGATCATTTGTACATAGAACAAAATCTTTTGAGCAGTTTTGCTCATATAAAACTGGATGACCTGTATTCATAAAAGTGGTGAGATCATTAAGAAAACTTAACATCTAAAATACAAAAACAGCTGACTTGTGTGCCACCGCAATTATTCATCTGCAGGATACTGAGAAAGCTATAGTTTGGAAGAAAAATGTAAAAAAGAGAAAACAGTTTTTTTTTTTTATTAAAGACAAGACCTGTTCAAAACTTGTAATAAATTTATTAAAATATCTTTTCTTTTTAATCTAAAAACTTTATAAAAGAGAAAACAAATATTTTACAAAAAAGGATCGAATTCATAAAAGAGAAAAAACTGTGGTCAGTGAGAAAACAGTGAACTTTATCTTCTTGCTCAAAAAACAATTTTTTTAATGATCTGACGTTTCTTTTTTGCAGATTTTCACCCTGCTCTCAATTATTCTAATCAAAAATTTTGCTTGATCTTATCGGGTTTTTCTGCAAAGAGTTATAACATTGGTCCAGCAACAGTTTCTGATCAGCATTTTTCTAGTTGTGCCTTTATCGGCTGATTATCGCATAAACAGATATTCAGAAACGTTCCCCTCTAATATCTTCTTTGCTATGCTGATTGTTTGCTTTAGTTTCGTCATATATTTAACCACTCTGTGAGCAAGCGAAGAGTATTAGCCCGTACTTTGTCCGCAAGTAAAAGGAGAATAATTCGGAATGATACAGATTCATCTCTGCCGCTGTGGCGTCACTTTTTCAGCCAAGGATGACAGCATGACGATTAGTCATGGAAGAAAAATACATCTCTGACTGGAACCTTAAGGTTTATGAGTAAGTGTACATTAATTGACCCGATTATGCGACTTTTTTGGATAGAGATAGTTATAACTCTAACAACAGTTTAATTACTCGAACCAATAAGGTGGTACTGTCATATAACAATTTTTTGTAGCCCGGGTATTTCTTGTAGTCAGGCTGTCACCAGAATTTTAGAGAGCTTCAGAATTTTTCAATATGAGAATACTTCAAGAATAAACTCATTAATTTGGTAATAGTCGGACCTGTTTTCAACTTGTTTTCGCCCATACACTAGACGTTAGTTGTGGTTCTTTTGGCAGTAGTAATTAAAACAAAAAATATATTGCCGTAATAGGTTAGAACCAGGTGGATAGTACAGCAGTTAGGATAATTCCTTTCTTAGAAGTAATAACAACACTAGGCAGATTGAAATTTACACCATTACACCAATACAAATTTACACCAAGATCGAATAAAAATTAACACTGCTCGATTGATTGGTGTTTGGTGGTTGCTCCCATGGAACTTTCGCATCCGCTGTCTGGCGCCACGATAATCCACCTGCAGTCAGAGGATGCGCACCGATTGCTTCATCGCTAAATCCCCCACCAGATTCCACTCGGCACCCTTCATTCACTTCTCGCGATAGTAACAATTCTAGTCCACCACCTATGCACGGAAGCGATCATTCTTGAAAAGCAGTTCACGCCCAACTTCAGTTTGAAGATCCGCAGGTTGCGGTAGCTGTTGAAAAATATAATTAACTGTTAAAAACTTAATAAACTATATGAACGCTAGACTATTACTTTGGACTTTTTCGCTAGTTATATAATTTATTAAAACTGCAGTCTAATTGTAGCTTTTCTACTCATGTTTATTGCCTAGTAACGAGTTTAGTTGATCTCTCTGCCTAATTGCTTCAAGTCATTGTCTCATTTTGCGTTTGAAGGAACTTCAACTTTTTGTAAAGATTTTTTTTCCACTTCAACAGTCAGCTCTTCAAGATATCTGTTGGTGTTTCAAAAGTATCACTATTCGATGTGTTGCTGCGCTTTCCCGGTTTATACGGTTGAATATTGCGCTAAAGTTTTTTCTTCATTCAGTGTTTCAAATTGCTGGTAAACAGGTAGAAGTAATTTGAAGCGGAAGTTTAACTTAAAATTTTCCCCAAGATTTGAAAGTCAGTTTTCAGAAAACCACAGTTTTATTAATGACTTACCTTAGTCACATTCGTTTGTGTTACAAATATTGCCTTATTATTGTTTTTCCTTTAATCGGTCTCAAAACACATAGATTGGTTTTTAAGAATAACTCATGAAAAGTGTTGTTAAACAGGTTAATACTTACAACAATAAAAATTACAGAATCGGTTTTATGCATATGTTTGAAATAGCCTTGAAATAATAAATAATTCTAAAAGAATCTTGGTGTGTATCAACTAAAAAAAGTCACTTTTTTTTCATTTTTTTATCTATCAAGAAGCACCGATTACCTCTTTTTTTTGTATCAAGTTTAAAAGTTTGAAACATTTAAGAACATCCATGATTCAAGTTCTTCTAGTTCATTAATACTATTTAAAAAGGAAATTATTTTACTCTAAGAATCTCATTCGTTTCTACTATATATCTACGGCAGAAATCGTCTACAATTATGTATAGGTACAGTCTTAAAAGTATAAGATTCAGCCACTACTTTCTTAGTTATATACTTCTGAAAATAGTTGAAAAAAGGGCAAAGCGAAAGATGGTGATGCTGACAATGGCGATGATAAAACGACGATTGGATTGCTGTGAAGAAATTTTTGGTGGTTATATGACTGATGAAAGCGTTAAGTGTTGTTGTTGAGATAGGAGTAACAACAATCATTGTTTCCAAAAGAAAAAAAAAAAACTTATGAAAAATTGCTTGAACTACTTCTTTTGCAGCATTAGCTTTACACCAATAATGAGTATGTTCGAATGTCGGAACATATTAATTTTTTTAGCTGAAGTTGGTCAGCTGAAATTCTTGAGTTTCTTTTAGTTTTGCAGAGGAAAATATATTTGTGACGCAGTTTTTGAGAACCTCGATGCAATAAGGCTGTTGAAGAGCACGAAGAAAGCAACAGTATATGGAAAAAACTGCTATTAAACGGCATCTTAGTTGTAAAACCTGTTTTATAAAGATCAAGTTTTCTTATATATACCTGTAAGCTAGAATTGCTTTCTTCCTGTTCATTTTTCTTTTTCCATATTGTAAGCTTTGATTTGATTTTGATATTTTTCAGTGATTTTGTTGGTTATATGCGCTGTAAATAAGTATTTTTAAGCTTTTATCGAAACAAAAAAAGCTGAGTTTTTTTGGGGGGTTATTTAAAAGCTAGGTTGCGGCTTGAGGATAACTGTTGATCAACTGTTGACCGGAAGGTAGGCAGTAGCATACCGCTATAACAGAAGCTAATTTTTAAATAAAATTAATGTAGTTTTCTAACTCACTAATTTTTCATTTTCATAATTAATAGAAAAACTTTCATTTTTTTTCTGCTTGATACTTGTTCAAACTCAGGGTTGCATAGTAATGCCTGATCGATTTTTATGCATTTCTGGTCTTTCTGTCTGTAGAATGTTGCGAATCCTCGCCCTAAACCAACTCCTATGTTAAGATTAAGTTTAGAAAAAAATGTTATCAGTAAAATGGCAATAACAGATAAAAAAAATGGAAACCAAGATGAAAAAAAGATTCCCCTCCTGAAATTTTTGAAAACAGCACATTCTACGTGCTTTAGCATCATTAATGTTCAGTAAACTTATCTGCAAGCAGAAGAGGCAGCAGTTGATGATTTCAGTTGCTTCACTTCCAAAATCTTTTTATTCGTTTTCAGATCAAAAGTACACAACGTGCGTTCGTTATAATTAGTGTTAAAATTCACATTATTTATTTTCCAATTTTTTTAGTCTATTTTACGTAAACTACTGAAGATAATTATTTGCTAAAACGGTAAAGCGGATATTGCCTTTTTAGTAGATAATTTTCTTTATTTTACTGTTTTAAATGTTTACAGTTTTTGCGGAGACATCAACTGGAACTTTTGCAATTATAAGGGATAAAAAAAAAAGATAGAAAATTTTTGT